GTGGTACAGGCGGGCTGAGCAATTGAAGCCCCTCAGCTTGAAAGACACGGCGGCAGTCTAATGTATACCATGCCCCGACTGCCACCCACAAAGTGGAGAGGAGGAGGAAGAGGAGGAGGAGGGAATGAGGAGAAGGAGGAATGAGAAGAAGAAGGGGGACGAGGGGGAAGGGGGGAAGGGGGAGGAGGGAAAGGAGAGGGGAGACAGACAAGTTAGGTGCGATCGCGCCATATCTGACATCCTACCCCTCCCACCCGTCTCTTCAGATTGTGCTAACCTGTTCTCTATCGGCGGACGCATATCATACCGGACCTAAAACTCCCAAAAGGACATCATCGTGTTATTCGCAATCGGGAAAATGGGAGCTGCGTACATAGGAGGAGGGGAAGCAGGCGGTGGCGGATAAGCAGAAGGATGAGTAGAAGGAAAAGGAGGAGGAGGAGGAGGAGGAGGAGGAGGAGGGGGAGGAGGACGAAGGAGGAAGACGAGGACGAACAGCAGCAGCGGGAACTGGAGCGGAAGGACAGACAGGAGCAGGAGGACGATGGGGAAGGCGGAGGAGGGGAGGGAAGGGGAGGGGAGGGAGGGGCAACGATGAGGAAGGACTCGGATCCAGAGAAGCGCCGATCCTACAATGACGGACAACCGAAAACAATCGGTGGGATAAAGTATCCTGACGAAGGACCCAACCATATGCAGTTGTGAGTACCGTCGTCGCGGGTATTGCCTTCGGGGGATCTCCTCATGGGGCCATGAAGCAAGCGAAGGGTATGCCGATATGGGGCGGGGCTGCCATGTGGGCGCTGCCAGTGGGGCTTTAGGCGACATCTGGGAAACACAGGCGAACGCCGCCACTGGGGCCTCCAGTGGAGCTCTCACGATGGGGCCACGGAACGCTGTGCTGGGAGAGGGAAACGCATGCGAACACCGGCACTGAAGCCCTCGGTGGAGCACCCTATGGGACCACGAAACGCTGCACTGGGTGGGGGGAACACATGCGAACACCGCCACTGAGGCCTCCAGTGGAGCTCCCAATGGGGCCACGGAACGCTGTACTGGATGGGGGGAACGCATACGAACACCGCCACTGGGGCATTCGGTGGAGCACCCCCTATGGGGCCACGAAACGCTGTACTGGGCAAGGGAAACGTATGCGAACACCGCCACTGGGGCCTCCGGTGGAGCTCCCTATGAGGCCAAGGAACGCTGTATTGGGTGGGGGAAACACATGCGAAAACCGCCACTGGGGCCTTCGGACAGCGCAACTAAGGACATCAGTGGAACCCCCTTACGTGGCCACGAGACGCTGTGCTGGGTGGGGGTCTCGCATGCAAACACCGCAACTGGGGCCTTCGGTGGAGCTCCCAATGGGGCCACGAAACGCTGTGCTGGGTGGGCGAGGCGCATGTGAACACGGCCACTGGGGCCTCTGGTGGAGCTTTCTATAGGGCCACGGAACGCTGTACTGGGTGGCGGAAACGCATGTGGACGGTGCCTTTGAAGCCTTCGGTGGAGTTCCCTATGAGGCCACGAAACGCTATGCTGGGTGGGAGAAACGCACACCGCCACGGGGGCCTTCGGTGGCGCTCCCTATGGGGCCACGAAACGTGTCAGGGGTGCGCCGACATGGGTGGCGCGGAAGCATGTGGGCACCGCCACTGGGGCCTTCGCTGGAGCTCCCTATGGGGCCACGGAACGTGTGAGGAGTGTGCCGAAATTGGTGGCGCGAACACATGGGGACACCCCCTATGAGGCCTTCAGTGGAGCTATGGGGGACCGAAACGTGTCAGGGGTGCGCTGAAATGGGTGGCGCGGACGCATGCGGACACACCCACTGGGGCCTTCGGTGGAGCTCCCTATGGGGCCACGAACCGTGAAGGGATGTGCCGAAGTGGGTGGCGCGGACGCATGGGAACACCGCAACTGGGGCCTTCGGTGGAGCTCCCTATGGGGCCACGAAAACGTGTGAGGGGTGTGCCGACATGGGTGGCGCGGACGCATGTGGACACCGCCACTGGGGCCTTCGGTGGAGCTCCCTATGGGGCCACGAAACGTGTCAGGGGTGCGCCGACATGGGTGGCGCGGACGCATGTGGACAACGCCACTGGGGCCTTCGGTGGAGCTTCCTATGGGGCCACGAAACATGTGAGTGGTGTGCCGAAATTGGTGGCGCGGACGCATGTGGACACCGTCACTGGGGCCTTCGGTGGGGCCACGAAGCGCGCGAGAAATACGCCGAAATGCGAGGAGGAGGAAGGAGGGGGGGAGGAGGAAGGAAGAAAGGAAGGAGAGGACGCGTGGCGCTGCCTCTTCAAAACGAGGGCCCAACGCCACAGGATGGCTGGAAAGTATGCTAACGGAGTTCCCCACATGGGCGTTTTAATAGGGCGCGGGCTTAGTCAGGAGGAAGAGGAAGAGGCGGAGGTGCGGGGGGAGGGGTCGACGAGGATGGCCGGGTGACGGGGGCGACGAAGACTGCAATTGGCGATGGCGATGTGCAGGCAAATGTTTTGGGGAACACCTCGCGTACACGACGCGGCCAAGATAGTGCAAATCGGAACGACAGCCCAAGAGCGGGGCCGAACCTGATAAATAGTATGGTATTCGTATACCCTCCCTGGAGGGGTGGCAGGGGCCCCTCCTCGCTCAGGCGGGGCCTCCCTGGAGGGGTTGGAGAGGCACGAAACCTGATCAATAATATGGTTCGCGAATACCCTCCTCGCTCTGGTGGAGCCTCCCTGGAGAGGTGGGAGGGGCGCGAAACCTGATAAATAATATGGTTCGCGAATACTGTCCTCGCTCTGGCGGGGCCTCCCTGGAGGGGTGGGAGGGGCACGAAACCTGATAAATAATATGGTTTGCGAATACTGTCCTCGCTCAGGCGGGGCCTCCCTGGAGCGGTGGGAGGGGCACGAAACCTGATAAATAATATGGTTTGCGAATACTGTCCTCGCTCTGGCAGGGCCTCCCTGGAGGGGTGGGAGGGGCACGAAACCTAATAAATAATATGGTTTGCGAATACTGTCCTCGCTCAGGCGGGGCCTCCCTGGAGCGGTGGGAGGGGCACGAAACCTGATAAATAATATGGTTTGCGAATACTGTCCTCGCTCTGGCGGGGCCTCCCTGGAGCGCTGGGAGGGGCACGAAACCTGATAAATAATATGGTTTGCGAATACTGTCCTCGCTCTGGCGGGGCCTCCCTGGAGGGGTGGGAGGGGCACGAAACCTGATAAATAATATGGTTTGCGAATACTGTCCTCGCTCTGGCGGGGCCTCCCTGGAGCGCTGGGAGGGGCACGAAACCTGATAAATAATATGGTTTGCGAATACTGTCCTCGCTCTGGCGGGGCCTCCCTGGAGGGTGGGAGGGGCACGAAACCTGATAAATAATATGGTTTGCGAATACTGTCCTCGCTCTGGCGGGGCCTCCCTGGAGCGGTGGGAGGGGCACGAAACCTGATAAATAATATGGTTTGCGAATACTGTCCTCGCTCTGGCGGGGCCTCCCTGGAGCGCTGGGAGGGGCACGAAACCTGATAAATAATATGGTTTGCGAATACTGTCCTCGCTCTGGCGGGGCCTCCCTGGAGCGCTGGGAGGGGCACGGAACCTGATAAACAATATGGTTTGCGAATGCTGTCCTCGCTCTGGCGGGGCCTCCCTGGAGCGGTGGGAGGGGCACGAAACCTGATAAATAAAATGGTTTGCGAATACTGTCCTCACTCTGGCGGGGCCTCCCTGGAGGGGTGGGAGGGGCACGAAACCTGATAAATAATATGGTTTGCGAATACTGTCCTCGCTCTGGCGGGGCATCCCTGGAGCGGTGGGAGGGGCACGAAACCTGATAAATAAGAAGGTTTGCGAATACTGTCCTCGTTCTGGCGGGGCGTGGTAGGTAGGTATTGTAGGTATTGTATGGTGTGGTAGGTAGGTATTGTAGGTTTTGTATGGTGTGGTAGGTATGCGGTGATGGTGTATGTATGGTTTCCTAGGTGTGGTATGGTAGGTACGGTGGTCTGCTATTAGTATGGTATGGTATTGTATGGTATGGTATAGTATGGTATGGTAGGAGTAGGAAGAGGGAGCGGTATTGCATGGTATGGTATAGTATGGTATGGTATGAATAGGAAGAGGGAGCGGGAGGTGGGAAGGTGGGAAGGTGGGAAGGTGGGAAGGAGAGGGTGTCCTGGGAAAACAAGAGCCCCACTCTGGATGTGGGGAAAAACTTTAGTACAACAAAACAAGCAGTTTTCAAATCCTGTGTACCAGTCAAAAACGAAGGAGGGCCTGCGATCTCCTGGACGGAGTCACAGAAAAGAGGAGAAGAGCAGTCATGCATGTGTGTTGTGAAGCGGGAGAAGGACGAGGAGATTGAGGGAGGTGGGAGGGGGGAGATGGAGGAGGGGAAAGAGTGGGAAGAGGGACAGAAGAGAAGCGGGGTGGGGGAGAGGGATCAGAAGGAGCCGCCGAATCGCCACCTCTTCCCCCACTCCTTCCTTACATTCCTTTCCCCTCCTGCCTTTCCAACTCCTTCTTGTCTGTTGTCGCATCTGTTAGACAATGCTCTCTTTAGCGTTATCAGCCAACGATGACCGTCGCCAGGCTCCTCGTTTGATCAACCCCAACAGGGCCGACTGGCCCCTTGGGGCGGGGATGGCTACGTCAGGATGACATTCTCTCCATCAGTTGGCCAGTGGGTCAGGAGGACGAGGAGGAGGAGGAGGAGTCTGGGAGCAGGAGGGTGAGAATAAGGAGGAGGAGGCGGCGGACGAGGCGGAAAGAGGAAAAGGAGGAGGAGGAGGCGGAGGAGGCGGAGGAGGAGAGGAGAGGAGGCGGAGGAGGAGGCGGAGGAGGAAGAGGAGGAGGAAGAGGAGGAGGAGAGGACGAGGTCGAGGAAGAGGCGCGAGGACCGCCAGCGCGAGGGGGGAAGGCTCCGTCGGCGCGGGCGGGCCCGCGCCGACGTTTCGGCGGCAATCCCCCCCCCTCCGCGGCCGCGCGGCCTCCGGCGGCGTCCAGGTCGCCGTCGGCTCGAGGCTTCGGGGGGGGCGGCCGCGCCGGCGCGGAGGTCGTCGTCGTCGTCGCCGCCGCCGCCGTCGTCGCGGTCGTCGTCGTCGACGCGGAACAAGGAGAAGAAGAAGAAGAAGAAGAAGAGAGAGAGAGAGAGAGAGGAGGACGAGGAAGAGAAGGAGGAGGAGGGGAGGAGGAGGGAGGAGAGGAGAAGATGAGGAGAGGAGAAGAAGAGGAGAAGCACAAGGAGAAGAAGAGGAGAACAGGAGAAATTGAAGGGGGGACGGCGAGGAGGGGCAGCAGGTTCGGAGGACGCCTGCTATACGCCTGCAGCGATGTTGGCCAGGTTCATCGTCAGCATTCCAGTGTTAAAGATTGGTGTTGACGCTCTCCCGCTCCTCCTCCTCCTCCTCCTCCTCCTCCTCCTCCTCCTCCTCCTCCCCCTCCTCCTCCTCCTCCTCTCCTCCTCCTCCTCTCCTCCCCTCCCCCTCCTCCTCCCTCCTCCTCCTCCTCCTCCTCCTCCTCCTCCTCCTCCTCCCCCTCCTCCGACATGTCCAGGAGGGCATAGACACGGACCTCTGGCCCAAGATTGGTCTGGCCAGAATCGCTGTAGATATATACAGACAAGTCGCTTTGGGAGAAGGAGCAGCAGCAGCAGCAGCAGCAGCAGCAGGGAAGAAAGAATTGAAAAATCGCGCTGGATGCGCTTTCCCTAGATTGGCCACTGCAGACCCGCTTCGGGCCTGGGGGCTGTCAGAAATCGATCCTTGAGGAAAACCGGCCAGGGTGGATCCTGCTTGCTGGGATACGGATACTGGTCTTGACCTGATTATTGTCGATAGGACGGAGGGGGACTCCTTCTGCTCCTTCCCTCGAATATCTGACGCCGTGATCTTTCATAACGAAGACCTTGGGAGGTCTCGAACACTCTCCTGGGTCCAATTATGCATCATCCTGTGCAAGTGTTTCACGGTCCAGGAGCCTGATAAGTAAGGGCCTCCTGAAGCCGAAAACGACTCAAAACTTCCCGCCGTCCTTTCTTCACGACGACAAGAGGTCTGGGTTGCGCGTCGACGCCATGGCCCTGTGGCAAAGTTTCACCAGGACTGGGGGATGTGCTCGGTGTTCTTCGTTGCGCTGACAAGACTGGCATGTAAGGAAAAGCGGCTGGACGTTCGAGGCTCGGGACCTCCCCACCTATCGCCGCTTCACTCCTCGTCCTCCTCCTCCTCGTCCTCCTCCTCCTCCTCATCCTCCTCATCCTCCTCCTCATCCTCCTCATCCTCATCCTCCTCATCCTCCTCGTCCTATTCCTGATGATCCTCCTCCTCATCCTCCTCATCCTCCTTCATTTTGCTCCTGGTGTGCTTATCAGTTCCCTTCTCCTCCTCCTCCTCCTCCTCCTCCTCCTCCTCCTCCTTTTCCTCCTACTCCCTCTCCTCTCATCAACACCGCCACCATCACCACCACCACCATCATCATCATCATCATCATCATCATCATCATCACCACCACCACCACCACCACCACTACCACCACAACCACCACCACTCCCACTACCACACCATTATCATCATCACCACCAACACAATAATCAGCATCATCATCATCAGCATCATCAGCATCATCGTCATCGTCATCACCCATCATCATCATCGTCATCATCATCGTCATCATCATCATCATCATCATCATCATCATCATCATCATCATCATCATCATCATCATCATCATCATCATCACCAGCATCAACATCATCATGAAAATCATCGTCAGCAGCAGCATCATCATCACCAGCATCAGCATCAACATGATAAGCATCATCATCAGCATCATCAGCATCAGCATCAGCATCATCATCATCAGCATCATCATCATAATCACAATCATCGTCATCAGCAGCAGATGCAGCAACATCGCCATCATCTTTAGCAAGATCCTCATCAGCAGCAGCAATAGCAACAGCAACAGCCACATCATCAGCATCCGCATCAGCATCACGATCATCATCCGCATAGCCACCATAATCATCATCATCATCATCATCAGCAGCATCATCATCATCATCATCATCATCATCAGCATCAGCATCAGCATCAGCATCACCACCATCATCGTCATCATCATCATCATCACCATCGTCATCACCACTATCATCATCACCATCATCATAATCGTCACCACCACCAGCATCATCATCCTCATCAGCAGCAGCATCATCATCAGCATCATCATCGTCGCCAGCCTCGTCGTAATCGTCATCAGCATCGTCATCATCATCACCATCGTCGTCATCGTAATCATCATCATCCGCATACTTATCCTCCTCCTCCGCATCATCATTGTGGTCATCGCCGTCATCATCATCGTCAGCATCATCCTCATGTTCAGCATCATCATCGTCGTCATCGTCATCGTCATCGTCATTAGCAGCAGCATCATTGTCAGCAGCAGCAGCATCATCAGCAGCAGCATCATCCCCATCAACATCAT